CTGCAACAAGTGTTAAGCGCTGTTAGTATTGAACCTGGTATTAATGACACCATATTTCACGCTTTGGAAAAGAAAATTGAAAATTTTGAACATAGAGATAAGCTTTGTACTTTGATATTTGATGAAATGGCTATTCAGCCTCATTTAGATTATAATAAACACCAGGACTACGTGGTAGGTTTAGAGGATGACGGCAGCCAAAGAACTGAGAAAATTGCCGACCATGTAATGGTATTTATGTTGCGTGGCATTTTCAAAAGATGGAAACAGCCCGTTGCATTTTCATTCTGTAAAGACTCAATGTCAGCAGATAAAATTGTCAGTTTTTACAAAGATATTGTAGTACGCGCTGAAGCAATAGGCTTAAAAGTGATTGCATCTATTTGCGATCAAGGGACAACAAATGTTCGTGCCATAAACACATTATTAAAAAAAAGCAAAGAGGAAAATCCTGACATTGAAGAAGAAGTTATAGTAATTAACAAAAAAATCCATGTAATTCATATTTACGACCCTCCTCATCTGTTGAAAAGTATAAGAAATAATCTATTAGATAAAGATTTAAAATTTTCAATGTGTAGTAAGTCTCAAGTAGCTAAGTGGGATCACATATGGAGTGCTTATAATATCTGTAAAAGTCATAATATTGGGTTGCTAAAAGGTATAACTGAACATCACGTCAATCCCTCAAAAGTGAAAAAAATGAAAGTCTCAAATTGTGTAAAAGTCTTTAGTTCTAGCACTGCTGCAGCAATTAAATGCTGTGCACTTTTTAACGCAAACAGCAAAAACGGTGATTATGCACTGAATGACGAAGCTTTAGATACGGTAACTATTATAAAATTTTTTGATAAATTATTTGACAGTATGAATGGCGGTATGAATTCCCCCAGAAAGGAGAAAAAAAGTAGACAAATGTATACTAGTGATTCATATCATAAAGAGTTTTGGATGAGAGCAAAGCATATTTTTAAATCTATGGAATTTATTCCAAAAAAAGCGAATCAAAGAAAACGTCCTCCAGTTTTAACAGGTTGGATAACAACTATAAACGGTTTCCTTCAAATTGCTAGTACTCTACAAAACCTAGGTTATGACAAATTTCCAACCAGGGCATTTAATCAGGATCCAATTGAAAATTTTTTTGGCCAATTGAGGCAGTATGGTGGTAGAAATAATAACCCTACATGTGTTGCTTTCGTGCCATATTTCAAATCATTACTAATAAAAAATTTCTCTAAAAACATTAGTAGTAGTTCCAACTGTGAGCACGATAGTGATGAAGTACTGTTAACATTAAATCACTTTTTAAAACCAAACAAAAATTTAATTAAAAAAAGACAACCGGACATTTGGCGATATAGTGAGATACCAGATGTAGATACATTCGAAACACTGACAATTAACGAAGTTCAAACAAATATTTCTCATGTAGAAACCACTGCTATTGGTTATGTTGCCGGTGCAATTTTAAATAGCATTGAAGTTCCCGAATGTGAATCGTGTTGTGCGAATCTGTTGCATCAAGGTGAGGCGACAGATATACACCACAAGTACAATTTATTAAAAGAATATACTGACACCAAGAAAAGTTTGTGCTATGCAAATACTGACCTAATAAATAACTTAATAATAACTTATTACATTTTGAACAAAATTATAGAAAGTGTTTTCTATAAAAATAATTTACAAAATAGAATCACTCAAGTGTTGAAACTATGGGTTAACTTTAAATTTAAAAAATGTCCACATTCTGAAACAATATCGGACAGCATTATCACAAAATTTACAGAATTATTCTTGTTTACATACACAAAAAAACTAGTTAACATCATGAACGGGAAATTGCAACTACCAGACGATTCACTAAATAAACTGGAACGCGCAGCAAAATGTACCAAAAATATTTACTCGATGCGAAAGAAAAAGAATTAATTGAAGCATCCATAAAAACATTTTTTCTTATTATTGTTTTTGATAAATTTTATTCAATTTAATTTTATCTAAAGTTTTATTAGGTAAATCTTTCGTGAAATTTATTACGACATGCTCCTTTCTGTGTAGTTTAATAATGTATTACTGTATATTTAATGATAAATGTTACCGTAAAAAAAGTGGCAATTCGGCCGATGGACGCGATTACTATACTTCCTTAGCTTACGCTCGGGAATTAAAAAATAAATTTGTAAAAAAAATTGCGAACCATTTTGAGTTTTTGGCAAGATACTGAACAATTAAATTTATTTATTCATACGCTCTTAGAACTGTTTCAAGGAACCTTAAAAAAAATGAATAGATCAGTTAATTTTACTGATTCTATTTAAATAACATTAGATCAATTTCTATCACTTAACACTGAAAGCAATAACAACTGTTTGCTTAAAAAGTGCCACTTTAATGTTGCTAAAAAGAATAATATTATTAAGACCCACCACTGACCCGGAAATGACCGGCATTCAAGCAAGACTTCTATCATTACGGGTACTAAGACCAAGTAATGATATGCATTGATTAGATTAACAAAACAATTATTATTATTATTAATAATACAAAAATAAGGATAGAATTGAATTTTATAAACAAAAAGTTTCACTTTAAAATGAATCTGTGGTTCTATTCCTTGTCAGATGTGAATACATCATAACATTTACCTCCCAAAGTCATCAGGTTTTCAATATTTGGCTTCATCACTAAATGTGACTCCACATTGTTTATTTTTGACGCTTACAACATAAAATTTAATCTAATCTAATTATATATACTTTTACTTTCCAACAGCAAACAAGAGAGGGGTCTATTTGATGAACTGTTGATTTCAAGGTTTTTCTCATACCTTTCAGAATTTATAAAGGTAGGTATTCAGAATCCAACTGTCGGTTGCCGTCGTCGTTTTTTTTTTTTAATAGATAATACTCAACTAATTGTTATGGAATTTTAAATGTATTTTAAGAATATTGTGTAAAATGCTAGCCAAAATATGTCTAATCATCGCCACCAAAAATTTTAGAACGTCATCTCAAGATTTTAGTTATTTATGTACCAAGGCTATAAAGAGGAAGTTTTTCGGCCCATCTAAAGTTTGAAAAAGTTCTCTTTGGACGTGGTGTATGCAACATTTTTTAGAACACCACATGTAAAAATTCCTAGTTAAATTTGAAAAACAAGTTTATAGAAACAAGCAAAATACACTAGAATTTCAAATCTAAACCACGCTTGGCATGTACCTATGTATTTTTGCTAGCATACACAGAAGGATTTCCATATTTTAATATTTGCTAATTTTTGCGGAATTAATAATACAACTTCTAATCAACGGCAATCACGTACTCATCAACAAAAATGTAAGTTGTAGTACTTACACCGCACTGCTGTAATGGTACTTGTTTCGTAGGTATATAGTTATTTACGTTTTTGAGATTAGAAAACTGTTGCTTTTCTTGTTGGACAAAAACCTTGAAGGATTTGCAACAAAATCGGAAGCCTACTTTTCCTTTCAATTAAGAGAATGTAGAAGAAAGGCTATTTTGCAACAAACATTTGGGAACCAATCTCATCTCACTTCATAAATGTTTCAAATATTTGATCCCTCATGCTTCAGTGATTTTTATAATATAATAAATAGAAATAGATCTCATCTTATTGTTAAGGTAATTTGGTAAGATACAAGAAAAATTCCATTAGCTAAAAGTGCTTGATTAAAAAATATGTAAGGTAAACATGCAAGGACTTCAAAGAAAAGTTAGTAAATATGACACTTCCGTCCAAAAAAGTAATTTTGACAGTTCAGTCTGAAAAAATAAAACTTTAGGGCCGCAAATCGAATCGTAAAGTAGCTCTTTTTATATCGGTCCCCAAAAAAATCAATTAAGGCGCTTATGATTTCAGTCCTACAATAAATCATTTTATTCAGTAATTCTAATTAGATATTCAATATGAAGTGTTCTAAAAAATAGAATTATTGCCGAAGCACAAACAACATGCATCTCAAGTGAAAAACTAAAAATGTTTTCGTTTTTATAAACGCATCAATAGTTTCTAAATTCTTCTTTTGCATCAAATAACTATTTTTAGTAGGAACATTTTACACCTCGTTCTAGTTTATTCAGTATATCTGTCGCCTCACCTTTGTGCAACAGATTCTCACAATATTATTCACATTCGGGCACAATGCTATTTAAAATTGCACCAGTGTTTGAACTTCATTAATTGTCAGTGTTTCTAATGTATCTACATCTGGTATCTCACTATATTGCTAAATGTCCGGTTGTCTATTTTTTTTGTTTGGTTTTAAAAAGTGATTTAATGTTAATTAACAGTACTTCATCACTATCGTGCTTACAGTTGGAACTACTACAAATGTTTTTAGATTTTTTTTATCGATAATTTGAAATATGGCACGAAAGCAACACACATAGGATTATTAGTTCTACCACCATACTGTCTCAATTGACCAAAAAATTTTCAATTATCCTGATTAAATGGCCTGGTTGGAAATTTGTCATAACCTAGGTTTTGTAAAGTACTAGCAACTTGAAGGAAACCGTTTATAGTTGTTATCCAACCTGTTAAAACTGCGAGACGTTTTCTTAGATTCCATAGATTTAAATATATGCTCTGCTCTCATCCAAAACTCTTTATGATATGAATCACTAGTATACATTTGTGTACTTTTTTTCTCCTTTCTGGGGGAATTCATACCGCCATTCATACTGTTATATTTCGTCAAAGGTCCGGTTGTGTTTGTTTAATTAAATTTTTGTTCAAAAAGTCACCCATCTAAAACTTCATCATTCAATGCATCACCGTTTGCCTTTAAAAGCGCACAGCATTTAATCACTGTAGTCATACTGGAGCTAACGACTTTACACAAGTATATGCTATTAATTTTATTTATTAAAAATTCCTCATCGAGATGCATCGTTGTTTCCGCTTTAGTAGTAAATTTTCATTTTTTAGAAATGTTGATACACCATGTGTAAAAGAATTAATAAATCATTCAATTGCATTAATAAAATAAAAAATGATTTATTTAATTTTAACAAAATGGGAAGACCAGAGCTTAATTTCTTATTTTAATATACATATAACAATATAAAAAAATTCAATTGGCAACACCAACTTTTGAAATGTAAGGAACTGGACTACCTTAATGGCGCTATACATATGAAGGTCTTTCCAAATAGCGTTACTTTTTTTTTGTATCAAATTTAAAACTTGTTGTTTGGCACAGTTTTTACTCTGTTTAGTTTGGTGAAGTACAGGTTTAAATTGTTAATATATATTTTTATATATGCAATATATAACTGTGCATATAGTTTCTATATGCACAGTTGACTAAAATACTTGCATTCAATTATAAATTTGTTGTTACAGGGAAAATTCAAATCCCTAGGTATTGTATGATACAACATTGATATAGTAATTCTTCCCAATAGGTAATACTAATAATACCACTGCATTTACCTCATTTTAATACAGTACTACATTATCTTAATTATGACAATTATGCTGTTGAGTTTGTGCTCACACAGGATTCGATGTTATCTTTTGAAAAAGTTGCACACTTTAACTCCAAATCATTCTCAGTTTCCTTTTTTCCTGTCTCCTTTTACACTTACTCACATTACCTGTAACTTATATTATTTGTATTATGAACATTTGTTTATTGACACATACCGCATAACCAGAGTCTAAACAGGAATGACTGAACAAGCAAAAATTTGTAGTTTTCATTCAAATTCACGGGTGTCCAATTGGGGACAAAAGGCAACGATCACTCCATTACAAACTCAGTTTTACACCACCACAAATTTGGTTAACGCATAAACCCTTAACTCTGAATTAGTTTTTCAGTCTGCACGCAAATCCTTACTATATGCAGTAAGGAATCAATTGCAAGTTACCAACTCCTGCCTGGGCTCTGTTTATAATCGTAACCATTGTAGCTGTAAAAACATGAATTCGTTTCTATTATGTTACCCTATATACACATTTAACTGCATGTATCAACGAAAATTATTATGTAATTTTCTCCTCTGACTGTTTTTAAAATTGTTAGAATTTTCAGATTTTGTGCATTGATTAGTTATTAACAAACTGATGTTTTCACTTCAGTTATATTGTTAGTAGGCTTCTTAACAATAAAATAAATTTTTATAGCACAATGTTGTTTTTCTTGTTAAATTATTTATTTAAGTGAATTTCGGTACCATTAACCTACAAATCAAATCAATGTGTCGATGTCAATGATCCCTGGATCCCCCTCCCCCAACCTCGATATAGTGTAATTAGTTCATCCGTCGAAACGAGATGGCGCCACGTTTTACAATTCGTAATTTTTCAATGAGCCAGTGTTCTTAATTTAGGGTGTTCTGTGGTTGATACACTAGCATACATTTGCATATCCCTGGTCAGCGACGCCAATTGTCGATCGCGTCGCCTGGTTTTTGACGTTTTAGGGACACAGAACTCTATAGGCATCTGTCTATAACCGATGTAATTAATAAAAGAAATCGTACTTATCGACTCCGATCAAATGTCATTTACAAATTTTGTATTGTTCATAAAGCAATGTAAACGAAAATCCCCAAAATAACTAGAATGATTTCCGCTCGACAAGGTAGAGGCGCTAGCTGTATGTGTCCTTTCCATGGATATAGGGATCGAAAAGAAGCGTCGCCATCCCAAGCCATTAGTGTACAAACCTATCTATTCTACAACCGTGGTATGTTTAGAAGCCTTAGATCAATGACCTCAGCTTTTAGCACAATTGTTAATTTTAGTATAAGAGATATGTTGCATCGAAGACTGCAAACTATAAACAACATTAAAAACGATTTGGATAAAAACTTCCTTTTTCCTAGAGAAATCAGGAAAAAAAGTTCAATCATGATGAGAGATTTTGTGAAAAATGATGACTTAAGAAACATTTCAGATAAACATATACAAAGCACCGTAGAATCAGTTTTACAGGATTGTCTGCGTGACACTGAAAATTTAGGAATGAAAGTGATAGATTTCAACTATGTATTTTTGCCTCCGTGTAAAGACAGTGAATGCAATGACGAAGTTGAAGATGAAATGTTTAGTGAAGAACAGTGCGATCACATTGAAAATTACAACAATTCTCAAATAGCCATGAAACGTAACTGTTTTCAAAGTTTCGAAAACGATCCAGTTGACCAAGATGAAGATTTACTCAATGATCTTTGCACAATTTCGTACGAATGTAAGAAATTTGACAGAGACATACATCTTAGAAGCTTTGATAGTGACGATATTTTTGTTGAGAAAGGTTATCTAGTCAGAATACGCTTAGATAATACAACAAATTTTATAAAAAAGTCTTCACTTTGCTGGTTGTTAGACAATGAAAAGGATCACGTCAGTGTGGATCGTCTCAAAAGATTTATTCAAAAAAAGAAATGTAATAGTAGTAGAGTTAACTCAGAAACAGATACCTGCCTTCAACATAAAGATGCATCTCAAATTCAAAAACCAGTCCAAATTGGAAAACAAAAAAGACGCTATAATATATCAAGTGACTCATCTGATTTAGACAACCCAAGTAGTATCGAATATGATGACAGCACGGACACCGAAAGTTTGAATTCTTCCAATTATTCTGATGATTTGATTCCTCGTTTGAATCTCAAGGCTGAAAATAGTAAGACTGATCGTTCTAAACCAGACTTTAATATAGACGATTATATTATAGTACAATTAACAACTCAAAAACAAAACAAAAATGTTACATTGGTAAAGTGTTATCACTTAACCCTATTTTTTGTGATTTTTTGAAAAGGAATCCAAACATTCCGGAAGCTTTTATGTTTCCGGACATTAAAGATCAGAGGGAGATCCAAGAAAATGAATATATAATTAAACTGCCTCCACCTCAGGTACTCAGAAGAGGCAGTTTAGTTTTTGAAAAAAAACTATTGAAAAAATATTTGTTTTCATTACAGTTTTTTTTAAGTGATGTGATTAAAATTTGTGATAATGTAACCTCAACCTGGGTCGAGATTTGTACAAGTATATATCGTAGAGAATACTAAAGTAAGAAACTGTGCAAAATTCTAGGTGCCCATGTAGGGGAAAATTACCTCTGACAATCCAACTCGAAAATTCTTAACCAATAAAATGGCAGAATTGTTTGAAATTTGTCCAATGGCATTCACCGAAAAATTTTTTCAGTGAAAAAACATTCTTCTGTCAGGCAACAACACTGTTTTTCAGCGAAAAAAAAAATGTCAAATTAATTTGTCAAACTTGTCAAATGAACTTTAATAAAAAAATGATAATGTAACATACAAATTACTTTTCTGTTGGCGTTAAAGTCATAATCTTCCAAAATACTGGCCACCTCGTTCATTTCGACTGCTTTATTCAGAGGAAACTTGTGTATTTCACAAAATTCTGTAAACTGCTTCCAAATTGAATCTTGCGTTCTTGCGGTCTTTCGGCACTGACTTTCTTTCACTGCATTTCGAATTTCATACACAGTCTTGTTACCAAATCTTGCTCCCAGAATTAAGAAAATCAACCAGCAGCACACACAAAATTTGATGTTTAGAAATTTATTTACGTTTTGCCTTGTTGTTTTGTTACTATTTAGACTAAGTAGGTATGGTTACTCAACGACTACGCTAACTATAAATTATGTGAATTATTGTCCGTAAAAAGTAAATAAAAATTTTCTCTTTGGATTGTCAAGCCGAATATAACTCGTGATCTGATTTTTTCTGCAAAATTTGTGTGAAAATTAACTCGTAGCTGTTGCTTTTGGAAAATCACACTCGTCTCCTTCGTCGACTCGTGTGATTTTCGTCGCAACAGCTACTTGTTAATTTGTGTCACAAATTTTGTCGGAAAAAATCAGACCACTTGTTATATTATATTTGAAAATTTATCAAGTGGGGTTATCCACTCCTTTATTGTGCAAGAAAAAAATCTTACGTGTTAAATTTTGCATTTCAAAAATTTTTTTCTAATATGCTTCATTTGAAAGTTGTGAACAAAAAATTAAAAGTGTTATCATCTGTATTTATGAGTAGCTAGAATTTAGCATAGTTTTTTACTTCAACATCATCTACAATATATACACAAATCTCGACCCAGGTTATGGGGTAAGTATTTTTTAAGAAGTTGTTTTATTTTGTGATATTTTGTTATGATCCAACAGAAATGCTTTACTTTTATGTTTAGAGTTACAGTTTTTTTTAACATTTAATAAAATAAATGAAACTACTTGTTTTTTCTGTTTATGCTACCATAATAAATGAATAAACATTTTTAAAAGTAATGACTTAAGTTATTATTATAAGTTTGATTTAGTAGGTCAAACTTTAACATGATCTTGTATACACAACACAGAGATGAACCTAATAAAATGATTTTGGACTATTTGGTATTCATTAATTACCTCTGTGAACGTATGAGCCAGTCGTTGTTGCCTTATGACCTTATGAGTATGAGTCACTGATAAGTAAAAACTGCTGACGTAACTAAAAATATCGTTGGCCTTATGTACTTTTAATTTCGTGAAGTCAAAAGCAAAATTTCATAATATAATTTATTGAAAAATTAATAATAAAATATAATATAATTTATTAAATCTTTGAGTGATAAACGAACTAAATAATTTGTACACACCAGACATTTTTAATTTCAAAATTAAAATAGACCATAAGATTTTCTGACTGAATGTGCAAAAAATCTAGAATATTGCAATTTTGATACACAGATCATTTTTGTTATTAGTTCGAGTCAAAACAATCACATAATTTCAGTTGACACATTGGAAAAAACGAAGATAGATGAAAAATAAGTAACGTGCAACTACGGTATTATACATTTTAAAAGAACGCATATTAGGTAACTTAAATTTCGTTATACTAAAAATAATGCGGAACTGATAGAACTTCCGGAGGAATGTGCGATATGAAGCTAATTTTTTAGGAGAAACATCACTAATTTGTGTGGATTTTTTTCTCTTCTTAGGTGGATTTCAAGCTACAAATTACCTTTGAACCGTATATTTGCTTCAGTTTTATCTGCAGAGGCCCGAGCAAGTGATTTTTGCGAATTTGTTTGTTATTATTATTGTTATTATGTTATTATACTAATCAAGCCAAAACACCAAATCAAGGAGATAAAGATAAGAAAATAAAGAAGACACTTCGTGGTTATAGCGAACTCCAGGAGCCAGTTCAGGACGATAACGAAAACCTGGACAATAATAAGACACTGCAGAATGAAGACGTTAACTGGAATAAAGTCAAAAGCAAAAAAAGACATCGCAGAGAATCCAACAAATCGATAATTCGATGCTCGGTGGATAATAGTACCCTCAAAGCAGTCCCACGAAGAAGCTTCATCCACGTGTATCGACTAAATCCTTCAACGACTACAAAGGATATCGAAGATCACCTCTGCATGTCAAATATATGCACTTTCGGAGTTGAAAAGCTGCAGTCAAGATATCCGGACCTATATTCAAGCTTCAAAGTGACCATTGATTATAAAGACTAAGACGTAGCTATGAAACCTGAAACCTGGCCCCCTGGCAGCTGTGTCAATCGTTTTTTTCATCGGATACTAAAGAAGACCGCGTTGCCTTAGAGGTAGAAGGCTATTTGAACATTCTGTCAATCAACATCCAATCACTGAGGGCTAAATTAGCGGAATTTGAGGCAGCAGTAGCAGACGATGACTTCTCCCTCCTTACCCTTTGTGAACATTGGTTGATGGCAGTAGAAGCTGACCAAATGCGTGTCAATAATTTTGTAACTGAGTCTTATTTTTCCAGAAACTCAAGGAAACATGGGGGCACAATGATTATGAGGAACACTGAGGTTTCTTGCACTCGTCTCCAAAATCTCGAACAACTCTCAATTGAGAAACATGGTGAGATATCTGGAATTTATATGAATAACCTAGAAATTTATGTGATAAATGTCTATAGATCACCCTCTGGAGATCTGAACAAATTTTTGAGTACTTTAGAAAAAGTTTTTGGTATAATTAACACATTAAAGAATAACATAATATTGACTGGTGACTTTAATGTAAAATTTGACAAAGAAGACCTCTTAAAAGACTGCTTATTAGATTTTATGAGAACTTATGGGCTTTTTCACTTAGTCGAATTTCCAACTAGAAATAACAACTGTCTGGATAACGTTTTTACAAATCTAGATCACGCACTTTTTCAAATTAGTCCATGGAATTTACACCTATCAGATCATAGAGGCATCAAAATTAAAGTGTTAATTTCGTCTACTAAAAACAAACAAAAAACACAGCTTATTAAACATAGGCCAATTACTGTTCTTGGTAAATTCAAATTGTTCGAGTCGGTGTCCAATATCAGCTGGGATTTCATTAAGCTATGCAGTAATAATTCAGTTGACGACTTGTTCACAAAATTTGTAAATCTAATAGAAGGTCATGTAGGGCAAGCCTTCCCTCTAAAAGTAGTCAAGCGTCAACCTAACAACAACAAAACTGTAAAGTGGTTTGATAGTGAATTAATTCAAATGCGGGAAACATTACAACATTTATGTGAAATAAATTAATCTAATTGGGAGTGAACAAACCAAGTCGTTTAGGAAAGTATATCGTGACAAAATAAATGATGAAAAGAAAATGCTTTGTAATGAAAAATTCATCTCTACTGCAAGTAATAAAGTCAAGGCTATGTGGAAAATTATTAACGAAACTCGCAATAAAAGTGTTAATAGTCAAAAATTAAGCTGCGATATGACCTGTGACGATTTTAACAACTATTTTATAAATGAAATTTCAAAATTGGGAACGCAAAGCAATAATAACTGTGATATTGAACTCTGTGATATAGCAAGTAAGTCTACTAACTCCTTGATTAATAGCCCTAGTTTCAGTTTTAAAGAAGTGTCACACATAAAAGTGAGAGAAGCTATAGATAACCTGAAAAATAGTAATTCTTCTGATATCTTTAATCTTAATGTGAAAATTGTCATAAGTATAAAGGACTTGCTGATACCTCCACTTGCAAAACTTATTAACTTTTGCATAAAATATTGCGTCTTTCCCAAATGTCTTAAAACAGCGGTCACTGTACCAGTATACAAAAAGGGTGACACTAATAATCCATCTAATTATCGACCTATCTCATTACTTCCCATATTTGGCAAAATATTAGAGAAAATTCTATTTGAACAACTTTGTACTTATCTTGAATCACATGCTTTACTTTTTGACTCACAATATGGTTTTAGGAGAAACCGTTCCACTGGTAATGCTGTTCAGGAGTTAGTTAATTTTATATCTCAGTGCTTTGAAGATCGTAAAATTGCAGTTGCGTCTTTTCTGGACCTGTCCAAAGCCTTCGACTGCGTCTCGCATAAACTTCTCCTCAAAAAACTGACAGCCTACAACTTGGTACCGTCTAGCATTCAACTTATTAGATCATATCTGGAAGATAGACACCAGGTTGTCAAATATAAGGAACAATTATCCGATTGTCTTCCTGTCAGAAAAGGTGTGCCACAAGGGTCCATCCTGGGCCCCCTCTTATTCATTATTTTTATTAACGACCTATCTTCTAGCATAGACTCAAAAATTATCTTGTATGCAGACGATACAACCCTAATAAACCAAGCAACATCGACGGAGACTATCTGCGTCAAAAGAGAGGAGACGCAATCGAGGGCTGAGGATTGGTTCAGACAAAACGACCTCAGCTTGAACGCAAATAAAACTACCACTATGTTATTTTCTTTAAAAAATAGCGATGTTCCACCCGATTTCACCACTTCAGCACAATTCCTTGGGATACATTTGGATGCAAAACTAACCTGGAAAGTTCACGGCGACGAGCTGGCCAATAGAATTAGCAAAAACTTATTTGTGTTAAGGAGTCTTAAAAATAAAGTATCATATCAAGTGCTCAGAACAGCATATTTTGCCTTATGTGAATCGCATCTAAGATACTGTATCCTAATATGGGGTCATGCCAGCATCTGTAATCGCATATTTAGGCTCCAAAGAAGAGCAATAAGAATTCTTGCTGGCATAGGTTATAGGGATGATTGCCGCTCATATTTTACATCCTTAAGAATATTAACCCTACCGTCAATGTATATATATATATTAAATTCACTGCTACATTTTAAACTTAACATCAATAATCATATGAGACACAAAGATATTCACTCGTATAATACACGTCACAACGCTGCACTTCTTCCAACTTTTGTAAGGTTAAAAAGAAACCAGTCATTCAATTATTACTCTGTCAAATTTTACAATAAATTATCAGAAAGTACTCAAAATCTTGGTATAAAGCAATTTAAGAGACAAATATCAGATTATCTCATCAAAAATGCATTTTACAATTATTATGAATTCCTCAGTGTTACCTCAGTAATTGTGCTCCCATCCAATGTTTTGACTTGATTTTAAAGTTATAAAAATCCATATGTATGTAATGTGCCTTGTATTGAATTTGTGACTTGTACAACGACTTTTGTTATATGTACTAATAAACATTATTATTATTATTATTTAGATATTTCGCTAACTGCAAAAGTCCCTGAGATACGATTTGTTACGAAAACCAGGATGCCCGTGTCGAGATAACATTTTTGTGCATTTTAAAGTGATAAGTAGCTAGGAAATAGTTATAGATCCTGTATTTACTTGGTGCTGTGCGTCTCGGACGGTAAGTGTTTTTACTGCTTAAGAGATTTCCTGTTACAATTTTTAAAGTTTGAAATTTAATTGGATTGGTAAAGTTGTGGAGCTAGTTAATTTTACAATCGTTTAAATACGGCTAGTCAAAACAATAGAGTGCGAAAATTTTCAAAAATTTGCAGGCTTGTTTTCACTATTTTTTATACAATAACTCGTAAAATAGAAGATGTGTATAAATGTGGTATTAAACAACAATATTTAGTCGTAATAGTTGGTTTTTGTAATTTTTAAACAGAATTTTAAAATATTGCCACATAATTTGGATTTTTTCCAAACTATTCATGCATAAGATTAAATATGGGGGTTGATTCAAAAGATATAGCAGCATATTATTTTTTGCATTTTGTGATGACCACGTTTTGTTGTCCCCATAAAATACTTTTAAAATTTCACGATAATGGTTAATTGGAGTCGCTAACCGGAGACGTGGCATGGATACGGAAACCGAGACCTACTTTTTCATGTTCTAGAACCATGAAACGTCGAGAGAACACGAAGTTCGTCATTCGGTCACCGAATCCATTTATAATACTTATCTAAAGTGTGTCCGGGATGTAAAAAAATCATGGTAATTATCTAATAACTTTTAAACAGAAAGGTCCTTGCTGCAATCAATGTAAACACAAAATGATACGGATACTGGAGAAACATTTTTTTTCTCACTTTAATACATATCATTTTCAAAGGGGCGGCTTGTCACTAAGTACGCTATTTGACACATAACACCAATAAATCTAAAAAATTTGTTTTTACTGGTTGTTCTTGCCGAAAGTCAAAATGTGGACCTATATAGATTTTTTTTAAATAAGCAAAATTCTCATTTGAATTTTTTTTTGTCTTGTAGTAAGTGACGTATCAAAACTCTTCCCATACTTAAGACAACAATTGTGGGTGACTGAAAATAAAGAGCACCATCATGAACAACATCATATTTGTGTTTGCACTTATGCTTTCCCCATCTTGTTTGGCACAAATCACTTTCAACTCAGATGAAGAAATCATAGCATTCATAAATTCCAATCAGTCATCGTGGACTGCCGGAGTGAATTTCCGTGGACAAGATGAAAGCGATCTTTTACCGTTATTCAATGGAGTCCTTGGACTTCATCCTGATCCGAATTTTGTGATACCGCAGGTGTTCCACGACACCTCAAAAATGTATCTTCCTGCCACTTTTGATGCTAGAACTAATTGGCCAGAGTGCGCTGATATCATAGGAAACATTCTAAACCAAGGACAGTGCGGTTCCTGCTGGGTAAATTTTCCAACATTGAATTTTTTATCTTGTTTATGAATAATTTCAGGCATTTGCCACATCGGAGGTTATGTCGGACAGACTCTGTATACAAAATAAAGCAAGAGTCAAAGTGCAGTTGTCTCCGCAAGACCTTATTACATGTTGTTCCACCTGTGGGTCTAAGTGCAACGGAGGTTATCCCTCTACCGCTTTTCGATACTGGGACATGACTGGCATTGTCTCTGGAGGAGATTATTTATCAAATTCTGTATTCTCTTGTAAGTTCATGGGTTTTCTTACTATTATTTTGTATTTTAGGGTTGCAAACCGTACGGAGCAACCGAATTTAAGGACGGCGTAGCAACGGAATGTCAAAAGACATGCACTAATCCTTCCTACAAAACTCCTTACGACAAAGACAAGCGTTTTGGCACAACTTACTACCAAGTAGGCGTTGTAGCGTCGCAAATTCAAGCCGAAATTTTCGCCAAAGGATCAGTTACGGCCGTTTTTACTGTTTATGAAGACTTTAGCTTTTATAAAACAGGTAAATATTGCTTGCTTGCTCTTGCGTTCTATAACTGCAGTCATTTTAGGTGTCTATTATCATGCGTATGGTGCAATACGGGGTCGGCATTCAGTTAAAATTATAGGTTGGGGGGTGGATAATGGATTACCGTACTGGTTAGTCGCTAATTCGTGGGGAAAAAAATGGGGAGGATTAGGTGGTTTTTTCAAAATACTGAGAGGTTACAATCATTGCGGTATTGAACAGCAGATCCTTGGGGCCAATGCAAGGATTTATTTCAAAAATACAGAAATTTCGGAAAAGAGCGAAACTAAAGAATGCATTACACCTTCTTCTGCTGTGAAACATTCAGGACGTGCTCTGTTGTTTTTGACTGTTTCGTTTTTTCTTATTAGTGGATTTCCATGATTTTGTTTTTATTTTAACTATAGCATCCGCTTGACAAAAATCTTTAATAACCTTATGGATAGATAGTTCTTTAGCAATACTTACTGTAAAATTAATCCGCTGATGTTAAGCATTCATATTTCTGAAAATAAATAAGTACTTAAATCAATAATAGTTTAATATAGTACATTTCAGAATTTTTGACATCTCGGTTGACCATGCTTATATAAACTACCCGTAAAGTTTAATTGAAAAAGTCTGTACATTTGACAGTTGACATTTTATGTTTTGTTTTCATGTACTGAATCAATGCAAATTTGAAAATACTAGACGCTTTTTGACTATTTTGCCAACATAAAAGTTTGAATTTCCAACGCACACTGAGAGATGTCAATTATTATGAAATATTAGTTATTTCACGAAGGAGTTGGTTAATGAAGGAATTAAATTATGCAACCAATATACACTTTAATCGTTTCATTTTTGTCTCATTTTCCCACTTCAAAGTCCAAAATTGATTGATTACAATAAAAATAAAACGATAATTTGAGATGGTAATAATAAGGTATTTATTTAGCTAAAGCTACAATTTGTACATAGGAGCTTAATACTATTTAATCAACTATACTATACATAAAATGAACACAAGAAGGCAATAATAAGGCATGCATGTATCCTAAATATAAAGTAAAGAAACAAAGAATTATATTGTAAATTATTACTAAAAATATTAATTAGGTTACACAAAGTTAATAGCTATTAATTTCCTCGAAGGATTTGTTGTATAGTAATTCCCTTAACTGACGCTTGAATTTTTTAAAGTTGTTTGGCTTTTTATACTCTCTGGTAACGTGTTATATAGTCTGATGCCCTTGTAAAATAATGAATTTATTGAAGACTGTTTGGTTTTTGACGTTAGATACAAATTTCCTTTTTGTCTCGTATTATAACTATGTTTTGCCTTCATATTTTGAATTTTTTTGTTCAAATACTCAGGTCCCATACTATTAATTAATTTATGTACTAAAATTAAGGTCTGCAGCCTAATGATATCAGATACACCCAACCACTCCAAGACTCTCCTCATATCATATATTCTTGTATATCTACTGCACTGCAAGATAATTCGCATTCCTCTATTTTGCATTTTCTGCAAGCTTTCCATGTTCGTTTGGCATAAGAGATACAAAATGGTCGGGCAATACATAAAATGTGGTAATACAATTGTTTTGTATACTGTTAAGGCACTAAACATCGAAAGTTCATTCCTGATTATTATTATTATTATTATTAATAAAAGATAAAGGGCAGAGGGCAGAGGGCAAGCCCTGTTATGCCCACGGAACTGTACAATTATAACAATATGTGAACAATCTATAAACTGTCAAATTTAGATTTAAAAACATTAACATTAGGACTCTGGACGACTTCACCTCTAGTTCTGGAATATGTGCATAAGGTAAATAAATCCTGCATTAATGGATCCTCGAGCCTCAACTGTTTGAAGGTGAAAATTACATCCCCTCGAATTCTTCTGTCCTTCAATGTGGGTAGCGACATTATGATAAGACGCTCAGAATAAGATGGTCGGAAAGGGTCATTACCATAGGGAAGACGAGTCATTCTTTGTTGTACTGACTCCAAACGATTTTGATCTCCAATGAGCACAGGCCACCAAACGTTATTTGCGAACTCCAGTACTGGTTTTACAAAATTTTTATACAACTTTAACGTGGTGCTTACACTTGGTTTTATAAAAGATCTTTGTAGTAAATACCCAAGAGAATTTGCTTTTTTAATGACACTCACGATGTGATCACTCCATGTCAGTTCTGAGTTTACTATTACACCTAGATCCAATTGGGAATTAGTACTGGTTAATACTACTCTACTTTATGTAGCACTGAACATTTCTGCTTATTTACTGGGAGGAACCACTTCTTGGACTGCTGATTCACTATTAAAATATCTTTACTCAAAATACTGCAATTCGTGGGACTGTCGTTATAAATTTTTAAGTCATCAGCGTAGAACAAACACCTTGACAGGATTTCTGTTTTTAAATCCGCAATATACCTTATAAATAGCAACGGACCCAGCACCGAACCCTGCGGCACTCCACTTTCCACAGCTGTCAGATCACTCAGTGATGCACCGACTTTAACTCTGAAACTTCGATTAGTTAAGAATCCTTTTATCAATTATAGTAACAGTCCTGTAATGCCATAGTGTCGAAGTTTTAACAGAAGATTTGTTATTGGAACTTTGTCAAAGGCTTTACAAAAATCAAAATACACAACGTCGGTAGCAACACCACGGTCGAAATTTTTGGTCCAATCTGATACGGCACAAAGAAGATTAATGGACACAGACTTTTTTGGGACAAATCCGTGCTGTTCGGCAGGAAGAACGTTGTTCGCAAGCAGAAACTTTCTTATCTCATCGGAAATAATAGATTCCATGATTTTGACTATGACCGCAGTGAGACTAATCGGTCTGTAGTTTACAGCTTGAAATTTATCGCCTTTTTTAAAGATCGGCTTTACAATGGCCAATCTCCAATCTTCAGGAAGTTGACTGTTTTGAAAGGATTGTGTCATTAAAATCTTCAAAGGTATACACACGGTCTCAGCACATTTATTAAGAACTGTCGGAGTAATCCCATCTGGTCCAGGTGAGGTGGTTGATTTCAGTTTACTCAACTTGATTTCAATTAATTCCTCCGGGAACGCTATATCACTAAGAGCAAAATTTACTTTCGGTGCAGATAACAGAGGTGTTGTGTTTGTTACTGTCTCTGTAGTATAAGATTGCGCAAAAGTCTCAGCAAATAAGTTGGCAATGATTTCGTCATCAGTTACCATGACGCCATTCTCGTTACGAAGTTGTGGATTTCTAACAGGTCCGGTGAGCCTGTTACGAATATATTTGTAGAGTATCTTTGGATCTTTAGAATTAGCTACACGGAGTTCATAAGTTCTTTTAGCCGCTTTTATTTCTACAGATAGACGGTTTGAATAAGCCCGATGAGCTGCATAGTCAGTGTCAGATCGGCTATTCTTGAGTCGTTTCCACAATGCTGTCTTTTTACAAACCATCTGGAGTAATTTTTTGCTAATCCACGATGTTTTCGTTGAACGAGTCACAGTTTGTTTAACAGTATTTTTGTCAACTAATTGCACTAAGCTCTCTTTAAATATGATCCAGTTATCATTTACCGACGCCGAACTCAGCAAAGTCTCCCAGTCTATATTACTGATGTCATGGTTCAGCACTGCATAGTCAGTATAAAATTTAGTGTGGACTGTTTTCTTACCCTGAAGATTACAACAAAGTTGCAGCTGTGCTGACAAAGTAACATGGTCAGAAATACCAACAGGAGAGCCGTAATTCAAACTTAAAAGAAGATTCACGTCTGACAATATTATGAGATCAAGGGTCGACGGCGTTTGATTCTGTCTATATGATATAGAAAAGGTGGAAACTATTTGCGTAGACAAATAAATGCATACGCCTCCTCCTCTTCCTGATTTACGATCTGATCGATAAAGAATATAATTTGGTAATAATACAATTGAATCAGTGATATTTGAATTCAACCAAGTTTCAGTTATTAAGAGTATAGTAGGTTTCTGCTGTGTAATGAGAGCTGTTAAATTATCAAACTTTGCGGTCAAAGATCCAAGATTAGTGTACATAATTGAGCACTTAAAAAATTTTTCGCTTTGTGACATGAATATGTACTATTAAAAGAATTCTAAGTTAGGTTCGCCACCAGACCAAGCATGGCAAAGGTCATAGGATTTTTTAAGCTTACGCTGAACCTTGACCACACGGTTCTTGATACTTTTATGCGTCAATTTAGGGTAAACTTTGTACAACATTTCGACTAGGCCATCAATATTCCTTGTGTATGCAAAAGTAACAGTAAGTATGTCAGATTGTCCAACGGCTTCTTCCATAAATTTGACCAAAGATTCAAAATCTATCGGAAAAGACGAATCTGGTAAGTCAAATAATTCCTTGACAGGTTCAAGTAACTCAAGGACCCCAGTAAGACTTTCTGTAGAATAGCATGTTTTTATCTTCTTCTTTAACTTACCAGCTAAATCTTGAACACGAGCTTCTTCAATAGGACTATTTACAAGATTCGGTATCTCCAATTCATCTTCAGGGGACGACTGGTCGGACTTAATTTGTCTTTCATTATTGACTGTAGTGTTATTAAATGGGCTCAGATGAAAAGAAGATTCACTTTGTGCATTATCTACACTTTACTCCACCGTAGTATTAGTTTCAACATTAATTGTACATTCACTTGCTATATTATGTCCTGTTTTTCGACACTTAAAACAAGTTTGATCTCCGAGGATGAAAAATATTCTGTACTCAGTCTCTTCGTACTTAATGAGCGTGGACGATGGAAGTTCAATCTCGTCGGTAGGCTCAACAAAGATTTGTCTTCTGAAACTCAAAACGTGGCGGTAGGTCTCGTTTTGGATGCTTGCTCTAAAAAAATTCATAGGCGACACCGTTTTGTATCCAAGCCTTTTAATAATGTTTTCAAGTACGGAATGTGGAATGGTAGGGCAGACGTTTGAAAGAATGATGCGTTTCGCAGGACATATAAACCGCCTGATTCCTGTTTCATAATCTTGGATTTTTATATTGCGATGCTCTGTAACAATCTGGTCGACCAAATCCTTGCTACTGAGATAAATACATATTCTATTGTTAGCTATGCGAGAAGCAAATAGTATGTTTTTAGGTTGTATAATTTCTCCCACTGCAACGACATAGTCTGTGAGTTTCAGGTCACTAATTACATTTAGGACAATGGCTTGTTCTTTTTTTGGGAATTGAAAAGTTGAATTTGGACTTGTTGACATCTTGGCAGAACCCAGCCAAACGGCTGTTTATTGGGTTGCCGGAGAATCAGGGGAACACAAGTAACTTATCTGACCACTACTATCAGTGTTTTGATAATTCAGGTTAACAAAAAGAGTGCAAACGGATTCTAGGCCTTCTTAACCAGTTTACAATACGATGCAAAGATGATACCTTTATAACTGCTACATCTTGAGGTGTGGTAGATGCCAATACACAAAATTAACAATTAATTCGATTTAAGTCACCGACACAGGCAGCTTTTTCTTGCAGAACTTTAATCGACCTCTACACTCGTTCTTTCTCAATATGTTTTTTTTTTCAGATTCGTCTTAAAAACCCATTTTTGTTGACAATTTTTTAATAACGTATCTGGCATGCTCTCTCATTGTCTATTTGTATTCCTAAATATTTAATTAGCTTAACACGATTTATATTTTGGTTTCCTATTTTTACATGTCGCGGATAATCTGTATAATTTTTGTTGCTTATGATCATATATTTTGTTTTATCGATATTTAACTTGAGTCTATTATAATTCAACCAATCCATTAACACTAACGTTTCCTCATCTAATGTATCTAATATTTTATTTAAATCTTCGCCTGACAGGAGGACTAAGGCATCATCTGCAAACAGATGGATAGTGCATTTCTCTACCGCCTTTATTATGTCATTAATGTACAATACGAATAATATTGGATCTAGAACGCTTCCTTGGGGGACCCCATATTTTACATCTACTGATTCAGAAAGAATATTATCACATTTTACCCTTTGTGCTCTGTTTGTCAAATAATTTTCTATCCATTTTATTACATTTCCGTCTATTCCTAACTTTTTTAACTTTTGCAATAAAATTTTTCGGTCTATTGTTTCGAAAGCTCTACTGAAGTCTAAAAAAAGTGCAACTGTACTTTCTATTTGTTCCTTCAGATCTGTTATTACATTTTCTAGTGCTGTTTCACAGTTGTGTTTTTTTTTTTCTAAAGCCAAATTGGCGATCTTTAGATCTGTTCTCACATTTTATTGTGTAGTTTATTTAAAATAAAGAAAGTCGACATAAAACATGTACTCGTATGTGAATCATTTGTTTAAGGCTAATTTTAAACTGACCACAGTAAACATTACATTTCATTTAACCACTTGGTGTCCCTGACATTTGCTGAATTTTATTATAGGCCTACTACTTAGCAGCGTCAATACAATCATACTGTAACTTTAGTGTGATTTTACATTAATTGCAGTATTACATGTTAAAAAAAACGTGTTAATAAAATTAACAAAATAATAATAAAATAAATAAATAACATTTTGTTATATTAAAAATAATACAGAACTGATGCGGCTTCCGGTGGAATGTCCGATAACAAGTCTTTTCCGAGGAGGAAAATCACCGATTTGTGTAGATTTTTTCTTCTATTGCTGGTGGCTCTCAATCTCAAGCTACGAAGAAAGCTGTCTTCTGAATTTTATGACTGCTTCAGTTTTATTTCCAATAAAAATAACTGACTTTGGGAAAAGGTTTATGTTAATTATTTTATTTGGAACTAAAAAAAGTTCCTGTGGTACACTTCTTGGGAAAACCAGGATGACCGTGTCGAGATAACATTTTTGTATATTTAAATGGCAGCAGTTTGTATATAATCATATTTTCCGCATATTCTTGTTACTGTGCACTTCTAACGGTAAGTGTTTTTACTTCATAAGAGATTTTCTGTTTATAATTTGTTAGAGTTCGAAATTTTCCAAAACATCCATGCATAAGATTAAATATAGGGGCTGATTCATAAGATACAGAAGCATATTATTTTGTGCATTTTAGATACGATTAAATTTTGTGATGACGTGGGGGTAGTTACATTTTGGTTAGCGTTTTGCTGGCTACATGATATTCTAGAATACCTACTTCTAAAATTTCACGGCAATCGGTCCAATAGTTTCGGACATCGTCAAATAAAGTCGCTCAGCGGAGACGTGGCACAGAGACGGAAATCGAGACTTACTTTTTCATGTTCTAGAATCATGAAACGTCGAAAAACACAAAGTTTGTCATAGCATGGTAATTATCTAGTACCTAATTGTTAAACATAGAAGAATAATTAAGAAATGAAATATTAAGCTAAGCATTTCAATAGAAGATCGGTATCCAACCATTTATTTTACGTACTGCACTATTCTTTAAGGTCCTCGAATTCTTGTTTTTGAGAAGAAGATCTCGAGCTTTGTACTCTTTATTTACTGTTAAAATGTTAGAGCAGATTAACTGATGTATATAATTCACTTGCTAGTTGTCACTATGTACTAGTTACTTTTTCTGAGACACTTTTGAGTGATGTTGTTCAAAATTCTGAAATCTCCAGTTCAATATAATCAGATATATCAAATATAGCGCTTTTTTTTACTTTTTTCACATCCTAGATTCTATTAGTTTCCACTCCCACTCCATAGGAGAACATAATTAGCCCCGCCCACCCACCCTGCCTTCATTTCAGTGATTAAATTTATCCGCTCTGAATGAAATGAATGATCTTATACTCAACAGAGAAATAAAATTAGTCGTTAAAATGAGAAGAGTGCGGGTCTAGTATTTGTTAAGATAAAACTGATTTTGGCAAATGACGTACTTACCAAGAAATAGGGGGCGGGTGGGTGGGGCTAGTACTCGTTAAGATAAGACAGTTTTTGGCAGATGACATATCTTCCAGAAAAATACAGGGCGGGTGGGCGGGGGTACTACTTGCTAAATAATTCTGATATTGGCAAATGATATATCCTCCAAGACAATAGAGGGTGGATGGGCGGGACTAGCATTTCGTAAGATAAGCCTAATTTTGGCACTTCAGGCATTTTCGACCATTGTTCAACCATTTTCGAAAATTAGCGAGAGCCACTTTCTTGTAGATTTCGACATTAAGAAGTCATTTTCGGCTTCCTTTCTTTGAAAATTACTACCGTTCTTCCAAATTCGCCAACTGAAATAGATCAATTTTTGACAGTTATATTAGCAAATAGAATGACAAAAAATTTACAATTAGCGCTTTTTTTTACTTTTTTCACATCCTAGATTCTATTATTTCCCACTCCCACTCCATAGGAGAACATAATTGGCCCCGCCCACCCACCCTGCCTAATTTCATGGATTAATTTTATCCACTCTGAATGAAATGAATGATCATATACTCAACAGAGAAATAAAATTACTCGTTAAAATGAGAAGAGTGCGAGCCTAGTATTTGCTAAGATAAAACTAATTTTGGCAAATGACGTACTTACCAAGAAATAGAGGGCGGGTGGGCGGGGCTAGTACTCGATAAGATAAGACAGTTTTTGGCAGATGACATATCTTCCAGAAAAATACAGGGCGGGTGGGCGGGGGTAGTACTTGCTAAACAATTCTGATATTGGCAAATGATATATCCTCCAAGACAATAGAGGGTGGATGGGCGGGACTAGTGTTTCGTAAGATAAACCTGATTTTGGCACTTCTGGCATTTTCGACCATTATTCAATCATTTCCGAAAATTAGCGAAAGCCATTTTCTTGTAAATTTCGACATTAAGAAGTCATTTTCAGCTTCGTTTCTTTGAAAATTATTACCGTTCTTCCAAATTCCCCAACTGAGATAGATTAATTTTTGAAAGTTATATTAGCAAATAGTATGACAAAAAATTTACAATTAGCGCTTTTTTTTTACTTTTTTCACATCCTAGATTCTATTAGTTTCCACTCCCACTCCATATGAGAACATATCACCTCGGGGGTTCCGCAGGGATCAATTCTTGGGCCTTTATTTTTCATATGTTCATTAATGACGTAGTATCTAATCTGGATTTTCAATGTCTTTTATATGCTGACGACCTGAACGTATTTAGAAAAATATCATCTTATTCAGACCACCTTAAATTTCAGTCAGATTTAAGAAAAATTGAAATAAAGTGCCTCCTCATGATACACCGTCTTCTCAGTTCAGAAGCTAGAAATGAGACGTGTGATTTTATCTTTATGTTCTCTTTTTAAACTTGTAAATGGTAAAATTGATTCAGATGTGTTATTAGGAACATTGTCTTTCTTGGTATCTAGACTTAGCATCAGAAATCCAGAATGTTTCTATGTTGAATTTTCAAGAATAAACGAACATATGTTTGTATCGACTGGTACTATATGTCGTAACTATGATTTATACTGAGATCATTTTGACCTGTTCAACAGTAGTATCCACCAAATTAAAAGTTTGCGTTTATAATATTGAATTAGATTTTCTCTCTTTTTTCTTAATTCTTCCCCATTCTTATAAATGGTTTATCTGTTAGGTTGGTTAATAGTAATAATAGTAAATTTGACACATAAAGCCGATAAATGTAAACATTTTGTGAAATTATGTACACTGTTTCAGAGAGCAACAATATAAAAATATATGTCTGCTAACTCATAGAACTAATTGTTAAATTTATTGAGAGTTCTTTAAAGATCCTTTTCTTTCATCAATGTGATACCTGTCAGTTTTTACATGGATTCCATTGTTTTGTTCCCTTCGGCTTTATTTTTCTTCCGATTAATCATCAAGGGAGACAATTTTATTGGAAAACGCAAGACAGATTTTCTTTTCTTTTCCTACAGAAACTTATTGTGATGTAATCTCAAACTTTAAATAGTAATTCTGAAGTTTATATAATCACATGTTCTGTCTTTTAGTAGCTTATTAAAATTCTTCCCATAGTTAAAACAACAATTGTGGATCATTGAAAACAACGAGCACCAAGATGGAGAACATCATATTTGTGTGTGCACTTATGCTTTTCCCATCTTCTTTGGCACAAAACACCCTCAACTCACATGAAGAAATCATAGAATTCATAAATTCCAATCAATCATCGTGGACTGCCGGAGTGAATTTCGCCGGCAAAGATCTAAAAGACCTTTTACCTTTATTCAATGGTGTTCTTGGACTTCATCCTGATCCTAATTTTACGATACCACTAGTGTTCCACGACACCTCAAAAATAAAACTTCCTGCCAGTTTTGATGCTAGAACCAACTGGCCTCAGTGTGCCGATATCATAGGAAACATTCTAAACCAAGGACACTGCGGTTCCTGTTGGGTAAGTTTTCCAACTTTGTATTTTGAATTTTGATTATGGATAATTTCAGGCATTCGCTACAACGGAGGTTATGTCGGACAGACTCTGCATACAAAGCAACGGAAAAGTCAAAATGCAGTTATCTGCCGAAGACGTTGTTTCATGTTGTTCCAACTGTGGGTATCAGTGCCAAGGAGGTTATCCTGCTGCCGCTTTTCAGTACTGGAACTCGTACGGCGTTGTCTCTGGAGGAGATTATTTATCAAATTCTGTATTCTCGTGTAAGTTTGTGGGTTTTCTTCTTATAACTTCGTATTTTAGGGTTGCAAGCCGTACGGGTCATCCGAATTTAACAATGGCGTTGCAGCGAGATGTCAACAGGCATGTTCTAATCCTTCTTACAAAACTCCTTACAATTCGGACAAGCACTATGGAGCAAGTTATTACCAAATACTCGGAATAGAAACGTTAATTCAGAATGAAATTTCTACCAAAGGAGCAGTTTCGGCTGTTTTTATTGTCTATCAAGATTTTCCATATTATCAAACTGGTAAATATTGTTTTGTCTGTTTTTGTGTTCTACAACTGCAATAATTTTAGGTGTCTATTACCACACATATGGTGTAATGTTAGGTCGGCATGCAGTTAAAATTATAGGTTGGGGAACCGAAAATGGAAATCCGTACTGGTTGGTCGCTAATTCGTGGGGAAAAAATTGGGGTGGATTAGGTGGATTTTTTAAAATATACAGAGGTAACAATCAATGTGGTATCGAAGGGGGCATACTTGTGGCCGATTCAAAGGTTTATTCACCAGATCCAGTAGTTTTTCTGATGTGAATAATTCAAGACATGATCTATTTTTCTTGATTGTTTTGATTGATTCATTTATTTTTCTCACTCTTTTTGTTTTAATATCAGCATATTTATTTTGATTAGTTTTCTTTCACTGCATACGTGGAAGAATTATTAATTTGAAAAAAAAATTCTTAATTGGAACACAAGTGCTAAAATTAGGTATAAGTGTGAAACTTAGTTTTATACTAACAGAGTTTACTAGTACATTATAGTTTATTATATTATAATAACTTGAATACAGAATACCCAGTACATAATACTACCTTGTTATGATTTACCCTAACAATATGTTGTCTGGACTTACGGTGTTCTACATTTGAAGAAAACATGATTCAGATAGTAAATGAGCGCTTTGATCAGGGCAGTTATTCCGTCTCCGGTGCAGAAGAATTGCGGCTCTTTGTGTGATCCGCTCGTCGTAGGAGAAATTGCGTCACTCGGCGTAATCAGGCCAGTGACGGTATCCGGGACGGGGATAGGATTGCATAAAAAGTTCATCCATTGAAATTATGGTCAAAAAATGGAATACATTTTGTTTTGTTTCTGCGTAATAATTTTGGTAGATACCAAAGTGCTGACTTTTGTCTTCAGAAAAATTTAATAAAATTATAATGTAACAATATTTTTGAAACCCTTTTTCAATAAGGAATTAAATATGTATTGCTGTATATCTGAGAAGAAACTGTACAAGTTGCAAATGCACTTGTCAGTTAATAGAAGGAATATTCACTACTAGTGAACATTTACGGAATTAGAGCATTCGTGTTTATAATATTCCTGTTTCAGGTTCAGAATAATGTTGGCAAATTATAGAATAAAATTAAAGACCGAAGGGTAAATAAATACAAAAAAGGAACTAGAACAGATTATATATCTATTTTCATACTATAATAAAATGACAGGTATAGATTTTCTGGTGCAAAATATGATAGCATGCCCAGGGTTTTACACTAAACTTTACCTAACTGCAACAAAACTTTTATTGACAGTATCTAAAGCAGCTTAACTTAAATGTTATTTTAAAATACAAGTACTTCATTAATGAATTACGATTTCATTCATAAGGTAATGGAACAGGTGTCAGTGTAAATATTTGAAACAAACCTAGAGTAGTTACATTGACTCTTACTTCTAAATTAACACCAGGAGAAACCTTTTCATCTTCAGCACCCAAAGCCCCAAAAAGTGCTACGTTAAAAATATCTCCTCTCGAATTAAATATCCAGTCTTGATACGGGGATGAAGCATTTGCAGTTATAGTGACTTTATGATGGTATGCGTCAACATTTTCGGCCGTAAGGAAAAACCTAAACAAAATGTCAGAATTTGCTGAAAAAGAAAAAAACAAAAAATTACCCAGTCATTGTATTGATGATCTTGTAAGTCCCTATTCTGGTACTACATCGAAATTCAAATATTTGAAACCCGTTTACGTCATTGAGTTGTTGTAATTTAACATTTAATGGATTGCTTGCATCCAAGGCAAGATGGGGAGCAGAACTAGCAGCGATGAAGTAGTAGGCATTTTTGTAGCACTGATCTTGGCTTACGATGATACCGATTGTTAATAAAAGGAAAAAACAAATTTTTAAGCTGCAAGAAATAAGTTTATGGTGTTGGTGTCTGTGTAGGTTATTTGGTACTTACCAGTGAAGGTTCATTATCTTTGTTTGTTCAGTCTTAGAGTCAAAACTACTTTTTTAGTGCGACGCAGTGGGACGATCCTTAAGTAATGTAGTGTAGTGGATGATAAGATAAGTATTTGAAATGAGTTCTGAAAATATTATCTTAATCTTGATGAAGTTTGCACAAGCTTGAACTTTTTTCGATAAAAATTTTCTATACGTGCACTGATAAATGACAATAAACCATTCTCGAAATGAAGATATTTAACACATTATTCTTGTTTGCTCCAGGTGTAAGAATTTACGGACTTCCTTAATACTGAAGATCTACATATTATACATAGAAATATAAAATATCGGAAGCCTTTTTACTTTATAAATTGTCGAGTTAGCTTTGAGATTAAAATATTTCATTATCAATATGCGAATTTACACATTTGTTGCTATGGTTTCAACGAACTCTACCGAATATTCCACTAGTGGAAATATTATCGGATATACCACTAGTGATCTAGCGAATATTTTTAACAAATGAATGTTTTTAAAATTAACGACAAAACATATATATTTATTAAACATTAAAACTTAGAACAAAAGAGTTTAAATTAATGGTAAGTACAAAAAAGCAGAAAATATGTATGCTAATAATTATTTAGGAAAAAAGGCACATTTAGGAAATCTAACATTTTGCAGTTGGATACCACATATGCCTGTATTTTTCCATAAAGAGTAGGGGGTTAGAAACATTCCATGACATAAACTTTTTAATTTGTTTTCCTACCTGATAGGGCATAAATATGTGTTTATTGTCTTTGCAATTAGCCACTTGCTTTCGGTAAGTGGTTTGGCCCCTTCTTGAGCCGTCTTTGAGAACATTGGATTATATTTATGCGACCGGTAGGTAATCCCCTAATTTCTTCCTTGAAGAAACTGACCAAACAGTGGACACCTTCTCCATCCTTCCAAGCTAGTTCGTAAGGGACTATGAAAAAGAACTTTTTCTTCAACCCTTCAGGCGTATCTTTACCAAAAAGTTTCACAATATTGAGAAATTCAGTTTCAGCAAGAGCTGTTGCGCTGTTCGTTTGTTTTTCTGGACATGCCTGCAATTTTTTCCTCATTCCATCCCGAGCCTCTTTTGCAGGAGAAGTTGTTTTTTCCAATTTACATCCTTTTTCGCTCAAAAATTTATGGAATTGCCTCCAAACGAATTCACGTGCCGTTTTTGCGTTGTTGGGAACATTTTCTTCAACTTCTGCATTAATTTCTTCTTCAGATTTGCTACCAAATCGTTTTAGTTCAGTTGCCATAATTAAACTTGGGGAAACGTCAGAATAACAGCAGCAAATTCAGTTTTCTGTTTTACATTTTTGAATTTTTTGAACTCGCATTTGTTTGTTGACAATTTGTTGACATGGAAATCGAATTATGTCTAACTTTATTTTGAATGTGTTTAGAATCAGTTTGAATAAAAAAGAGTTGGAATAGTCTACCGAACGCCAGTCATAGTCCAAGTTGTTGTGATTTCTGGTTTTTACTTTTACTTCTTTTTATTAGAAAATTGGAAAATTAACTTTTGTTAATCATTTATTTATAATAATTATTTTTTTTTTTACATAGCAACTGTTCCAATATAAAATTAACACTCTTAATAAAATTTCATTTCCATCAACAACTCATTAACACCTTCTCCAAATTTTATTAATTGATGCTTGACATAAATTGTTCTTTCAGGTTTTCAAATTTAATGTTTCCAAGAGGTTTGGTAAATATGTCGGCGATTTGTTTTTCAGTTGAACAATACTTTATGTTTATAATACCTTCTCGCACCTTTTCATTTATAAAATGAAATCTTACATCTATGTGCTTGCTCCGTCGATTGAACTGTCCGGTTTTCACTATTGAGATTGCACTCTGATTATCAACGTACAAATCTATCTTCACTTCACCATTGGTAAGTTCATCAATTAGAGATTTGAGGTAAAGAAGTTCTTTAACACATTCTGCAGCAGATATATACTGAGCTTCTGTGCTTGAAAGTGAAACTATTGGCTGTTTCCTGGAACACCACGATATGGGTCCACCACAAAAAAATATTATGTACCCTGTTGTACTTCTGCGTGTTTCAGTGTCCCCTGCAAAATCTGAATCACAATAGGCAATCAATCTCTCACTGTTTTGGCCATCGTAGCACAGTCCATCATTTTTTGTAGATATTAAATAGCGAAACACTCTTTTTACTGTTACAATGTCTTGATTTGAAAAATTTTCCATTTTTCTACTACAGTAATTCACTGCATATGATATGTCTGGTCTGGTCTTGTTGTTTAAATATAATAAACTTCCAACAGCTTCTCTGAATGGATAATTAATTTTTACCATTTTATCTTCTGAACTTATATCTTGTTTGACCATGGGCGTAGGTACAGGTTTGGAGTTTTGCATATTAAATTTTTCTAAAGTTGCTTGTACATAATCTTGTTGTGAAACTATAACTTTTCCATTATGTTTTTGAATACTAATTCCTAAAAACCTATTAGGATTTTTTTCACTTGTCATTTCAAATTCAGTTTGAAGATTTTTCAATAACAATTTCATTTCTTCTTCACATTTGCTGATCAATAATCCGTCATCTACAAAGATTGCTAATAACTTGATCTTTTCTATATTCGTAAATAAACATTGATCACTAATCAGTGGTTTTAAACCATTCAGTTTTAAAGATGTAGTAAAACGTTCATTCCATTTCATAGGAGCTTGTTTTAGGCCATATAGCGATTTCGACAATTTACACACTTTGTTTTCAGTTTGTTCACATTTGAACCCCTCTGGTACATGCATAAAAATTTCTTCTGAAATACTTCCATACAAAAATGCTGTTTTTACGTCAAATTTGGTAACTGACATATTATACTTGGCAGCCAGTGCTAACATTATTCTTACTGAGCTTATGTTCACAACTGGACTGAATGTTTCGTTGTAATCTATTTCCTTATGTTGTTGGCACCCTCTTACTACCAACCTTGCTCTATATTTTCCATTATCTTTAACTTTGAATACCCACTTGCTTGTCAGAATGCGATGTTTGTCTACTTCATTTATATTCACGTAACTCCATGTAAGATTTTTATTCAGAGATTCTTTTTCTTCACGTATAGCCTCAAGCCATTTGTCCTTTTCTGGTCCCTTGACTGCTTCTTCATAAGTCAATAACGCTTCTTCTTCAACAAAGCTTACAATATAATCTTTAAGTTTTACAGATTGTTTTAATTTCCTTCCACTTCTTGTTTCTGCGATGCCTTCTCCTCTTCTTGATTCTGTGATGCCTTCTCCTCTTCTTGATTCTGTGATGCCTTCTCCTCTTCTTGATTCTGTGATGCCTTCTCCTCTTCTTGATTCTGTGATGCCTTCTCCTCTTCTTGATTCTGTGATGCCTTCTCCTTCTCCCAAAATTATATTTTGTACTTCTATTTGATTTGGTTTTTGTCTAATGTCTTGTTCATTTTCAGTTTCGGTTTCTGAATTTTCACCTGTATTGTTTTCTTCTAGTTCTGCATTCTGTTCCTGATTTTCTTCGTCACTTTCTATAACATTTATTTTGCTTGTTCTTCTGTAATCAGCCAAAGATTGACTACCTGGTTCATTGAAAATAACATCTCGGTGTATTTTTATTTCCTTAGATTTTTCATCCCATAAGCGGTAACCATTTGGTGTATACCCTACAAAAAGATACCTTTTACTTCTAGGGTCAAGTTTGTGTAAATTTCCCAGTGTCTTTGCATATGCTACAGAACCAAATATTTGTAATCTGGACAGATCAGGTTTCATTTTGGTCCAGTATTCTATTGGTGTTTTGTCTATTGCTTCTGTAGGACTTCGATTTAACAGATACGCTGCTACATACGCAGCTTCGCCCCAAAAATCTTTACTTAGCTTGCTGTCAAATATCATCGCTCTTGCCTTTTCCAATAAGGTTCTATTTAATCTTTCCGCTTTTCCATTTAGTTGTGGACTATGGGGTATAGAATAATCCAGAACAATGCCTTTATTTTTTGTCCAGAGTTTAAAATTCGATGACGTATATTCACCACCATTGTCACAACGTATTTTTACCACCTTTTGATTATGATGAGCTTCTGCTTCTCTAATAAAATCTTTTAAATGTTCTGATACTTCACTCTTATACTTCAATAGAAAAATTCTACAATAATGAGTATAATCATCTAACACTGTTAAAATGTATCGTTTTCCATCCCAAGTTTCAGGATCGATTGGGCCGCATACATCTGTATGTAGAATTTCTAGTGGTCTTCTTGCCCTCTGTCTCGTTGTATTAAAAGGGAGTCTTGTTTGCTTTGCTTCCATGCAGACTTCACAGAAACCCATTTGACACTTCTTTTTATTCAGTTTCATGGCTGTCGATAGATCTATTAATCTTTTTATATTCTTTGTTCCCAAATGTCCTAGCTTTCTATGCCAGTCTTTTACTGAAGTATTTTCTGCAAGATAACTCTCTTCCTTACTTTGATTTATACTAACCATATATAAACCACTTTCAATTTTTTTTCCTTCAAGTATTTTTTCATTGTTTTTCTTTATTACTACCTTTTCTTTAGTAAATGTTACTTCACCATCATTCTCTGTTATAGTATTAACCGACAGTAGATTTTTGCTTAATTCGGGTACAAAAAGTACATCATTCAGTATACATGAACTTCCTTCAACTGTTCCTTTCCCTTCTGCCTTCATTTTTTCATTCTTCTTTGCAACTTGTATGCTACTTTCGATATTTTCTAATGCTGTAAACATCACTTTCGAGTTGACCATGTGGGATGAACATCCTGAATCAACTATAAAATCTTGCGTTGTCAATCTTCTGTCTTCTGTAAGAAAGGCTATCTTCTTTTTTTCTAATGATTTTGTCTTATCTCTAAAGAAACAGTCTTGCTCTTTATGGTTTGTTTTCTTGCAAATCTTGCATTGGTTATTTGTCTTTTTGGGACAGTTATTTGCAATATGTCCAAAGCACCCACACTTAAAACATTTTACTTCGCCAGCACCCTTTTCTTTCCATTTTCGGCAAAATCTTGTATCATGCGAACTACTTTTACAATGTTTACAAAATCTCTCTGTACTTTTAAATGCAATATCTCTCTCACTTTCCTTGCTACGGTTTTCTTCGGATAGTAGTCTTGCTATCAATTTTGGTAAGGTTTTCTCATTATCTTGAGTAGATTCCCAGGCAGTCCTGAAGAAACCATAACTTTGAGGTAAAGATGACAGTATTTTTGACATTAACATGTTGTCATCAACTGTTTGATTTAGACTTTTTAATTTGTGTGCAATACTCTCTATTTTGCTAATGTGAGTAGCCATATCAGTACCTTTTCCAAATGTGTAGCTGTAGAACTCTTGCAGCAAATTACATATTTGTTCTGAAGTGCTTCTTTCAAAAATATTTTTGATTTTTTCGAACATTTCTTTGGAGGTGGTGCAGTCCATAATGTGCATCATGTACTTTTTGTCTATTGACGTCACAATTAGTTTTTGCGCTTTTGCATCATTTCTCACCCATTTAGTTTTATCTTCCTCCTTTTCCACACTAGATAGAAGTTTGTCTCCATTTACTATTCCAAACAGATCATAAGCCTTAAATGTTACTACTATTTGAAATTTCCACAACTGATACGTGGTTTCATCTTTGAGCTTTTCTATTAAATTCACCTCTTCTGTCAATGCCATTATTTTTGTTTTTTTTTCTTCTTATGTCACTGTCAAATACGTTTTCTTCCTTTTCGAGTTTTATTTCTCTCGTTAAGGTTCTAAAATTTCTTCTTCTAGCTTTACTGCCTCAGTACTTGCGAGTACTCTGGGCCCATAACCTGTTGTGATTTCTGGTTTTTACTTTTACTTCTTTTTATTAGAAAATTGGAAAATTAACTTTTGTTAATCATTTATTTATAATAATAATTTTTTTTTTTTACATAGCAACTGTTCCAATTATATTAACAAATTATAATAAATTAACACTCTTAATAAAATTTCATTTCCATCAACAACTCATTAACACAAGTTAGGTAGACTATTTTTCAAACTGGTTTCGCTCATTCACTTGTGCTAACGCACTCGTGGATTCATTTGCAAGCGCAACTGACATTCGTGACAAAAAAATAATCGACATAACTTGAACTACTCGTGATGTTACATATGAATATTTCGGTATTTAATATTAGGTTGTGAATAACGTCTATGTAGGTACCTCTGTTATATCAAAAGTTTATACCGCTCGTCCTTCGCTTCATAGTACAACATTAGTAAAATTATTAACTTATAAAGAAAAAATAAAGTCATTTCATTATATTTATTTATGCCACAATTCTATAGTATAACAAAAATCTTAAGTAAATGACAGAAAGTCAAGAGATTAATTAACTTATCTGACAGGGTGGAAAATGGAACTACTGGCCACCATATGAAATAGTTAAAAATTAACAATTAATAAAAAAAGTTACATTTTTTCGTCAATGAAAAAATATTGAGATGGTGTTCCGTTTTCTCCGGCTAGCTGCAATGTGCTTCCTGGGACGAAGTATCCATTTACTATATCTAATGTCCCTCCTCTGCTTGAAATGCGTCCATCAGCATTAAGTTGCCATTGTTGGTAAGTAGAATTTTCTAATTTATTTAGAGAAATCGGTCCATCAGTGCCCTCTAACACCAGTCTAAAAGGTGGTATATATTTTTTAGTTTTACATAAATAATAGTACTTCCTACCCGGTTGAGGCATGCACAATGTAAAATATTCCCGGCACTCGAGAAGCGCAAACAAATGTAAACTGCTGGTCAGCTGATCCATCAAATACTTGAAGAGTTAAAATGGTTGTGGAAGCATCTATAGTAAAGCCTGAATATCGATGTTTAATGTAGTAAATTTGATCACCTTGGCAACTACTTAGGGCTGATTTGAAAGTTGCCAAAAGGATTAGAGCTAGTATGCTGCTGAAACAACAAAGAATGTAAATTTTTTATAAATAAACACCTACCTACGAATATAACATACTAGTAACAGATGTGATAATGTCCCATGATTTTTCTACTGCACGACAACACAAACCAGTCAAAATAAATCTGTTAACTGTTATTTATATTGTGTCCATTTCGGAGTTCGAGTATTTTGTTTGTCACTTTATTTATCATATTAAAAATAATTAATTGAGGAATCTTTTCTTTGAAATAATCTACATCAGATTATCTTACTTAAATTTTTAAGTTCGAGTATTTTGTTGTGAGTTTAGTCGTCTGGCTAAATATACTAAATACATACTAAATTTCAATGAAATCTGATAAATCGTTCCGAAAATATTTAACAACCCTGTACGTATCAACCGCTCAGGATGTTTTTACATAAGAGTGAGCCATGGAATTTTTTCTTCACGTTGGATAAACTGATTCATTGACAAAACGATTTGTCTGTCAGTGCGTGAGATTGACGTTCACTTGAAACTGATACATTTCAGACTCCTCTCATTAACTTTAAAATGCCGAAAATTATTTAGTCACAACAAAAATTTCAATAAAAGGGTGCTATCTGCAAATGAAAAAAGGATAATCCCCAACTCAAGCTTGAAGAGTTAACGATGAGAATAGATAACATATTGTCACGAAGTAACCCATACGCCGCCCCGGTGCGATGCCTTTTCTAGTATGTACGGCAATGAGCGGTGGTGACTCATTATCGGTGATGGCGGCGTTCGAATAGAAAAAGTCTGGAAGCCATGCCGGAAGTCTTGATGGCAGACTCCAGAACAACCTCGAAGGCGGCGGACTCGAACCCTCTAGAAGAACGCATGGCGGTTTAAATAGGGACCACCGTCGGGAACGGGCAGTCAGTCAGTGAGAGAATTAGAGTCTAGTCTACTCCAACCAGTCGATTATGGATGTTATGGGCTTAGTGGGACTCCCTACGTGTCGAGATTGGATTACTTAAGCGAGCTTGGGAGAGTTCAGTTACCACCATGCAGTTGGTGGTTCCGGCTACCAGAATCAGGGAAGTATTTCGAGAAATACACAATGGGGGTTCTGGTACTCATTTTGGAATCCATAAGACATTTTCTAAAGTTAGGGGGAGATTTTACTGGGTCCGTTGCCGAGCTGGTGCAACAATACAACGTCGGTGACCGAGGACGGGAATAAGTACATAATGGTGGTCAGCGATTACTTCAGCAAATGGCCCGAACCTTATGCCATACCGAACCAAGAAGCCATGACGGTTGCAAAAATGCTGCTGACAATTGGATTAGCAAGTTTAGGGTCCCAGTGTAAATACATTCGGGCCAAGGTAGAAACTTCGAGTCAAACCTATTCCAAAGATTACTAAAGTCTTGGGAATACGGAAGGCACGGACTACGCTGTTGCACCCACAGTCAGATGGAATGATAGAACGGTTCAACCGTACCGTGAAAGAACATACTTCGAAGGTGGTGGTCAAATATCAGAATGATTGGGATCGACATCTTCCACTGTTCCTACTAGATTATCGTTCAGCTGTCCATGGCACGACGAGTCAGACACCGGCGCGCATAGTTTTCGGAAGTTGAACTTCGTCTCCCTTGTGACATCTTGTTCGACTTTCCCAGTGAACAACCAGTGAACAACCAAAGGGGGTCATAGATTACGTCGATGACTTGAAGGAGAAGCTGCTGAGCGTTCACGAAACTCTGTACCAAAAGATCCAGGTGGCGAGTGACTGAGTGAAAACACGCTACGACCTAATGGTAATTCAGTAGGATTCCAGGCAGGGGATTTGGTATGGCTTTATAATCCCTGAAGAAGAAAATGCCGTTGCCCAAATTTGTCACCAGACTGGTAAGGTTCGTATACCATCGTGACGAGAATCAACGATGTCGTTTATAGAATTCGATGAGGGTTGAAGACGAAAATGAAGATCGTTCATTTAGATCGCCTCATGAAGTACAACAGTGACACCGTTGACGTTTCTAATCGGGGCTATCAGAACTAAGAAGGGGGCAGTGTTACGAAATAAACCCATACGCCGCCCCGGTACGATGCCTATAGGTTCTAGTCTGTACGGCAATGATGACTCAGTGTCGGTGACGTTGGCCGAAGACAAGCCTGGAAGCGAAAGTAGCGAATGTGTGCTCCAGACAAGTCTAGAAACGGTCAGGATGGCAGAGCATATAGGTTTAAACAGAGGCCACAGTTGAGAACGAGGATTATTCATTCGAGTCGCGTCTAGCTGGTGTCGAGAAAATCCTGTCAAGTTGCGCCGGAATTATTTTGTGCATAATCGCTCTGTAATTAGTCGCGTAAATTCGAATTACTAAGAACTGTTGAGTTTAACCCATGCCGATTTTAACACCGATCAACGTAACAGTATATACAGCCTGTTATTGAAAGGTACGTACAAAATAAAATCGGCAATTGGTTTCGAAGTATAGGTGCTAAAAGTTAAAAAAAAGTTCAGGTAAAAGTGTTCTCCTTGTAGAGATAAAAATTATTAAAATTTACGTCCAAATTCGTTGTGCGCCTCTGATAAAAAGATCATCTTTCGTTTCTATAGCAACCTTTAGTCTTGACAAAAGTTTTATTGTTACAGTTGCTGGGATTTACTAAAATAAATTAATTTTACCTATTTATCCTTCAGTAGCGTCTAAAAAGGTTGGATAAGGGTTAATCTTCCCCTTATAATTTTGATAACACAAAATAAGTTTTTCCGACTTCTTAGACTTCGCGAAGAACTGTCCATTTTGTTGTACATACCTTTCAATAACACCCTATAGAATAGGTCGCATCTGCCTTAAAATTATCTTAATTGATTGTGATGATTTTTTTTTATTCGTCGTGAGCCAAGAAGGCGGAGCTTAACTGCGAAATCTTTTTTCTCTACGAGAAATTAAAAACATGTTATTAACTATCGTGTTGTTCAAAGAATACTATGTACATTAAGAAAAAAACAAAGCCAAATATTAAGGCCTACCCATATCCGCTACGATCTCAATTCTCAATTGTGATCATGATTATGTGATTCGTTGTCAGATCAAGGGGCGGTGTTTAATTGCAAGATCCATATTTGTCTAAAAGAATTTACCATTTGAAACATGTTTTAAGACTACGTATATTAAGAAAAAAGGCAAAATATAAGCCCCGCCCACCCGCCCTATCTCAATTATGATGACATTTTTTAAATCATTGAGAGCCAAAGGAGCGGAATTTTATTGCAAAATCCTTATTATTTCTCTACAAGAAATTACCATGTGAGACATGTTTTTGAGTATCGTGTTATTCAAAAAATACTATGTACCTATATTAAGAAAAAATTAAAGTCAAAGATTTCCTTACAAAAATTTACCATTTTAAACGTGTTTAAAGTTTCTAAGAATAAAAAAGATCATCACAATTGAGATAGGGTGGGTGGGCGGAGTTTTTATTTTGTCTTTGTTTCTTAATATACATAGTATTCTTTGAACAACACGATACTAAAGAACATGTTTTTAATTTCTTGTAAAGAAATAAGAATTTTGCAGTTAAGGTCTGCCCCCTTGGTTCACTGCGAATAAAAAAAATCATCACAATTGAGATAGGGCGGATGGGCGGGCTTACATTTTGCTTTTTACTTCCCGAGCGTAAGCAAAGGAAGTATTGTAATCGAGTCCGTCGGCCGACTCTCTACTTTTACGTTTTCTCGATCTTTCATGACCCCTAGAAGACGAAGAAATAGGTCTCCCATTTCCGTCTGTCTGTCCGTCTGTCCGTCTGTCCGTCTGTCCGTCTGTCCGTCTGTCCGTCTGTCCGTCTGTCCGTCTGTCCGTCTGTTGTCACGGATTTTTATTAGACAGATAATCTCCGAAAGTACTCGACCGATTGTTGTGAAATTTTGTACTTATATTAAGAATATCATGTAGATGGTAAAACGCTAACCAAAATTTGTCGAATCATCCCCACCACTAAAGCGATGACGTCACTTCAAAATTGTACATAGTAAATGGGTTTTCAATTGTATAAAATAACATAGTCCTACACATGTAGTTTACAACTCTGAATCGACTTTTCACCCGAAACGTCCAGATTTTTGGAAAAAAAATCAAAATTATAAAACAACATTTTGAAATTTAATTTTTAATCTGCTAACCAGAATGCTTTGAAATGTTGCAGATGTTTTAAGGCTATAAAGAGCATCATAAATCTTTAGTCAAAAAATATTTGCTTATCCCCTCCAAAAACTTGATGACGTCAGCTAAAAAGTTTGTGGAATAAATCATATCTAAAATGTACAAAATATGATGAGTCTGTACTTGTGAACTATCACTCCATTAATATTTTTTGGATTTGCATATACAGGGTGACTCAAAAAAATTAATGAATGCGTAAATATATTTTATTGATTTAATCAGGAACTACAAAACCGAATGCTCTGAAATCTTGCAGATGTTTTAAGGTCATAAAGAGCATAATAAATGTTTAGTCAAAATATATTTGCTTATCCCCTCCAAAAACTTGATGACGTCAGCTCGAAAGTTTGCCGAATAAATCATATCTAAAATGTACAAAATATGATGAGCCTGTACTTGTCATTTATCACTCCATTCATATTTTTTGGATTTGCATATACAGAGTGACTCAAAAAAATTAATGAATGCGTAAATTTATTTTATTGATTTAATCAGGAACTACAAAACCGAATGCTTTGAAATCTTGCAGATGTTTTAAGGTTATAAAGAGCATAATAAATTTTTAGTCAAAATATATTTGGTTATCTTCTACAAAAAACTGATGACGTCAGCTCAAAAGTTTTCCGAATAAATCGCATCTAAAATGTACAAAATATGATGAGTCTGTACTTGTGATTTATCATTCCATTCATATTTTTGGATTTGCATATGCAGGGTGACTCAAAAAAATTAATGAAGGCGTGAATTTATTTTATCGATTTAATCAGGAATTACAAAACCGAATGCTTTGAAATCTTGGGAATATTTTAAAGTTATTATAAGCATGGTAAACTTTTGTTCAAAATGTATTTGTTCATCCCTCCTAAAAAAATTGATGACGTCACCCTTAAATTTTGCTGAATAAATCCTATCTAAAATGCAAAAAATATGATGAGTTTGTACTTGTGATTTATCATTCCAT